AGGTTTAATGGACTTGACAGAAAGACAGTTGCCGAGTGCGCTGACGGCCACAAACTATCAGAGGAAAGGGAGCTGGAGCCCGCCGGGGCCTGTGTCCTGGCCCTGCTCTGCCTGTAATGACACATCTCTGCGTGGGCAGCGCCTGCACACGGCGCAGGGGCCTCTCACTCCTACTCCAGGGGGACGCTGCTGGCGTCGTGGTACAGCGGTTTTAGCTTCCATGCCATTTATTACACTCTACCGTGGGCTGGAAAGGAAGAAATTCCACAGCAAGGCTCCTGGTCTTGAAACCTCACTCCAAAGACATTTTTCATTTCTTTTTCATTCCATGGAAATATCTGGAATCGTCACTAGCACAGCCAGCCTGGAAACCTGAATGTGTGACAAGTGGAACACAGCGAATTCTCCAGCTCGTAGAAGACGAGTGCTGTTTGTGAAGACCATGTAACGAGGGGAGAAGTGCAAGACTGAAAGAAAGGGCCAGCCGCGCCGGGGTGGTGAAGGCCGCTGGGTCCCGCACGGCCGCTGCCCGGTTCAAGTCCAAGGCTCTCATGGTTTGAAACCCATGCTGGGAGCATTTGTGTGTGCGAGCCCACCATCCTGAAAGGGAAACGGAAGAGGAGGGACTGTGGTGTGACCACCCACCATGGGGATGCTTTCTCACTTTCCTCTTTCTCTCTCTCTCCAGTGAGTGCATGCATGTACCCACTATCGTATTAAAAAAAAAAAAAAAAAAAAAAAAAAGGCCGCTAAGCCACGCTTCCTTTATCACTACGTAAAAAGGTGTCCAGGCGACACAAACGGCGATATCTCCATTAGCATCATGGAGTTATAAAGATGAAAGGTCCCTTCACATCGTGATTCTGCTTTTACAACACAAATAAACACACAACGTGGCGGGTGGAGTGGGTGCGAATCAAGGGAAAAACTCAGAGACATTTTCATATTTGTCACGGGCCCCAAAGTACCCAAGTCGTCATGGGAAAAACCAGACATTTGTTTCTCATCCTTGCGCTTAGTTGACAATTTGCTACCGTCTTAAATGTCTTGTATCACAGGTTATTGGGCCCTGGTCAGGGCTTGGTGGCTCTAAAAGTTTTAAGCTGATCTTCAGTGAGTTCATTCCTTTTTAAATTTTTATTTATTTATTTTTGCTAAAGGGTGTATGCACCACAGAGACAGAGGGAGAGGAGAAAGTGACACAGAAACTGGGGTGTTGTGGGCCCAATACCCAATGCAGGAAGAGCAGTGAACCCCATTCTCTGTCTCAACCTCATGAAGAATTACAACAGATGACCAAAGAGACAGCAAAGCAGAGCTTACTGAAAGGGAAGAACAGCTCCCAGGCAGCAGGGAGGGGTCCCAGAAAGTGGGTTGCTGATTTGGGGCTCTTATCAGGGGGTTTCATCCCAGCCAGGAGGAACTGGTTCACGTTGTGTCCCCATGCGGGTCACATGCTAGTATGTCACACTGTCCATTTAGGGAGCTGTACATTAAGAGAACTTCTGGTAAATGCTTGCTCAAGTCTTTGAGAGCTTCAGGCCAGAGACCATTATCTAGTGGTCAGTGTTTGCTTGAATCTTTGAGAGCTTTGGGGCCTAAAACACAATACCTAGAGGGACCAGTGGATGGCGTAATGATTTCGTCACTGGACTCCTATGTAGTCAACCGTGGTTTGAGTCGTGGACCCAGCAGTTTAAAACTCATGCCAGACATGTGTGCATGTGTGCCCAAAATCTAAGAGGAGAATGGAGAAGGAATTGTGGTGTGGCCATTCCCGGGGGGGGGGTGACTGCTCACTTTCTGTCTCTCTGGCAAGCACATGCACCCTATAGGAACAATCTCTTGAAAAAAAAAATAGACCCCCCCTCCCCAAATACCTAGGTTCCAGAAGTAGTAGGACATAGAAAAGGCCATTCTAGGTCAATCACTGTACAAGCCGTTTGGTGTGGGCAAGCAGTTCCAACTGCAAGCTTGACTACTATACTCCCATCTTTGGGCTGTCTGTCCTATGTAATTGTTTTAGGGCTCTATCTCCTATCTCAAAAACACCCCCAATGGGGAATAGTCATGCCACAACCCCTTCTTCTCCATCCCATCTTCTGCATCTCTCCTGCCCGTCAAGACTTTGGGCATGCACGCACATGCACCTGGCATGTTTCTCAAGCCATCAGGTCTGGGACTCACACTGCATGATCAGCCACATGGGATCCGGCAGCCCTAACCACCATGCCACAAGGACTGTCTGGGTTCATTCCACTTTAAGGCTGAGAGAAGGGTGCTGGGATGGCCTGGGTGGGCAGCTCTGCTACAAGCCCACGGTTTTACCCATCTAGGGTACCAAGAGTCTTGGCCTCCTCACCAGCTAATTTTATTTTCATTACAATTCTTCTCCATGGCCCTGGGAACTGGTCATTTGCTTTCTCAGCCCCAGAGCTAGGGTTTTCTTTTTATCTGCACGTGGAGACAGATGTGTACCACACCTGGAAATGGACCAACACATAGACGAGTCAAACGCCCTCCTGGTCGAGGAGCTGAAGATAGAGGGACAGCTGAGCAAGGCTGTGGCTCTCAGCGTGCTGGTGCCGGCCCTCTGCTGCTCCTCACATGCGGTGCAAGCCTGGACCACCCACCTCTGGCCAGTGAGTTCATTCTTGAGAAGTCATGCTCTTGGGTAACGATGATGGAAACGAAGGGCCATGCTTTTCACTGACAAAGAGAGGTTGCAGGAGGCTTGACGTGGACTATTTGGCATTTTGAGAACATCTAGTCCCATTTTTGACCTTGTTGGACAATTCCCTATGCCTGAGGGGGAAGGGAACAGCCTGGGAGCTCCATTGGGAGCAGACAGGAGCAACGTCAGACTTACAAGGAGTGTGTGTTGAACAGGGACCTGCGCCCAGCACGACATTGTTGCAACCATGACATCTCGTGGAATCCTCCCAGCGACCTTGTCAGTCAGTATTCTCCGATTCCTAACTTTCATGGACGAAGCAAAGGCACACAGCCCAGAAACTGGCAGAGCAGAAGCCCAGGAGAGCTAATACCACCTGGCCACGCAATGACATTCTAACTAAGTCCCATATCACCCTGGATGTCACATCCGTGCAGGTATGAAATAGGGGAAGTGCCGTTTCTTTCCTAAAATCCAAGACATCCTGCGGAAAGAATCATAGCCAAGGTTTTAAATTTCATTTTTCAACCTTCCATTGTCTTTTCAATGCCAGAGGGTGTGTGTGCACCACCCAATAGGAAATGGGCATGCTACAATCCCGTTTCCTCCTTTGCTCTCTCCCGTTAGGTTGTTGGGCATGCATGCACACATGTCATGTGTTTTCCAAGTCACCAGGGCTGGGATTTGAACCATGGTCAGCAACATAAGATTAGCTCCCAATGCACAGCCCTTAACCACTGTTCTATGGGGCTGGTCCCAACAGTCTTTTTCTTTATTAAAAAAGTCTCATGGGCCAGTCAGTGGCGTGGTGGGTAAGGCAACTGGATCCCACATGGCTGACTACACAGTTCAAATCCCAGAGGAGGTGACCTGAAAAAACATGTTGGGTACATGTGCACGCATGCTCAAAATACTGAGAGAATGAGACTGGGGTGTGGACATCCTCCCCCTGGGGGTTACTTTGTTTCTCTTTCTCCTTGGCAAGTGCACATGCCCTACAGCAATTTTTTGTTTGCGTAGGATTTTTTTTTTCTTTTTTTTGGAGAGGCTTTTTTGCTATAGGGCGGATGCACTTGCCAGATAGACGGAGAGAGACAGAAAACGAGAAATCACCCCCCAGGGGGGATGGCCACGCCGCAATCCCTTCTCCTCCATTCTCCTCTTGGGATATTGGGCACGCACGCACCGGTGACCGGCATGAGTTTAAGCCACCGGGTCTGGAACTCGAACCACAGTCGACTACGTGGGAGTTCAGCGACATAGCCATTACACTAACTGCTGGTCCCTGTTTGTGTAGGTTTTTGCCATAGAGCGCATCCACTCACCAGAGACAAAAACAGAGAGAAAGAAAGTGGGAAATCATCCCCCTCGGGGGGTGGGGAGGGCGGCCATTCCTCATTCCTTCTCCTCCACGCTCTTTGGGATTTTTGGGCACACAGCCATGGTGGTGGTTCCCACTGATTCTGCCTGGTGGCGGGTTGTATAATTATTTCATTATGCATCACAGTGTAATGATAGCAAAGTACACAGTGTCATGCTTTAAACCATCCTGAAAGCATCCCTCCCACCCCGTCCATGGGAAAATTGTTTTCCACAAAACCTGTCCCTGGTGCCAAAAAGCTTAGGGACCACTGTCCTAGAGCACCCCCAATGCAAGGAGTCCCGACGGGGTTCAGGGATCACGGTGTGCAACCAGGCAAGTCCCTTCAAGAACTCCTGGACTCTGGCCATTAGAAGCAGTGGCTGGCTTCAGTGTTTTATTAACAAACGGGTTGGCAGAAGAACAAAGTACCTGCCATGGCGGCTGTCCCTGACATGCTCTGCTAGCCAAGTTCTCAGCCGGCTCCCTGAGTCTTCGCTGCAATTCAGTTACCCGCCAGGTGCTCGGAGGCAGGAAGAGACTCCTCTCCTCAGAGGCAAGGGAGTGAGAAGCTTCCATCTGGATGCCAGGACCGCGAAGGAAGCTGTGGCCTGCTCCTTCTGGAGGACGGAAATAATTCTTCACGCGGCAGGGCATATTGGCCTTGCCGGGCCTTCCAGAGGTCAGTGGATGGCGCAAAGCCCTGAGTAGTTCAACATTGGAAAGGCGTCATCCTTTCTCAGACCAGCCAGAGGACAGCCTCTGATCTTTGTCAGCAGATGAGACTCCAGGACTGGGGCCAGCAGGTGGGGGAGTGGTTAAGGTGCATGGATCCCAGGTGGCTGACTGCACGGTTTGAGTCCCAGACCTGGTGGCCCGAAAATCATGCCAGGCACATGTTTGTGCGTGCCCAACATCCTGAGAGGAGAAGGGATTATGGTGTGGTCATCTCCCCTGGGGGTGATTTCTCACTCCCCCCCTCCGCCTCTCTCAGGTGAGCTCATGCACCCTATAGCAAAACTAAAAAAAAAAAAAAAGAAAGAAAAGAAAAGCCTGTGATAAGTGCTCCTCTTGACACCAGCTACTCACAAAACCATGGAAGACTCAAATCCCTGTACTGAGCATGCGTCAGTAGAGCTGTGAAGTTGGAATAATACCAACCATGAGGAAACACTGAAGAGGAGAACATTTCAGGTAAAACACTCCTTGTTCGTTGAGCACCTTTTTTTTCTAACAAGTTCAGCATCAGTTTTGTTCCAAGTCCTCAACTCTTCAAACACAGCAGTGACCAGCGTGCTCCCACTGGCCCTTGGGGTGCTAGTGTGTGGAGCAGAGGTTGGCCTCCATTGTTCTCGGTCTTAGTCCTCTAGCTGCAGAGAAAACTAAGCATGGCTATGCTGGGAGGTCTGTGCATAGTGTAGTTATAACCACAACAGCTCATAAGGCGCTCTTTGTCTGCATAATTATCACAGCTACTTGGGAGTCTGTGGATCAGAGCATCTGCAGGGAGGCTCATCTTCAGGGACGTGGTGACTCCCAACCTCAGCAAGCCCCTTACTGGCCTCCAACTCAAGGTGACCACTCCCACAGACAGCTGCAGCCAAGGAGCCTCCTGCAGTGGGGACCCAAGCCCAGAGAGGGATCTTCTTAGGAACAGACAATCCGCTTCTCATCTTCAAATACTTTGGCCTCCTCTGGCTTTATCAAATTTCCATTTAGGCTGTTGAAAAGGAGGAAAGCAACGCAAGTGAAATGTTAGTAGCTGTTGCACAGTCCTTTCTGAGATGGGTTTCCAACACACTCCCGTGCATCGCCCACACCTGAAGTTAAGGAACACACTCTATTCAAATAGTTGGGGGCTTTTCTTGTTTTCTTAATATTAATCCTCTCCATCTACCATCACCGTATTAGCTGAGTCTTACTAAGTCACCAGTAGCCTCCATAAGCTTGAATATAATGACATTTCAGATCCTGTCTTTTCTTCTTTTTTAAAAAAAGAATTATTTAATTTTATGTATTATTATTTTTTAATTCGACCAGAGTGAGACAGAGAAAAAGAGAGAAAATGAGAAGGCAAGCTACTAGGTCCAGGACTTGAACTACAGTTGGCCATGTGGGAGTCCAGCACCTTAACCATCATACCACCTACTGGGCTCCAGGTCTTGTCTTTCTTGAGCTTCACAGGCATTGTCTATCCTGGCCTCTCCCTCCTCCTTGAAGCATGACATTCCCCTGGCTTAATTACACACCCTGTGCTTTTTCTCTTTCACCTGGGCACTCCCACTTTGACGCCTTTCCCACATTCTTCCTCATGTCACCTCTAAATAATGCCTTTCCTCTAGGTTTGGGCTAGGCCCTTTTCTCCAAGTGATCTCGTGTATTAGTATGTCAGGCCTCATTTGTACAGTGGGGCTAGGCTGACCAGGTCGGGGATTCAAACTATGGTCACAGGTGGGATCCGGTTCCCTTGAGCAGTGTGTTACCACTGTGCCACAGAGTTGGCTCCACCTTGTAGTTCTTCAAGGATGCCACACTCCCTCCTGCTCAGAGCCTTTGCATATGCTGCTCCCCCAACCCGGAATAATTTTTCTCAGCTCAACTGAGTAACTCCTATTCATCCTTCATGGCTTACTTGAAATGCTACTTCCTCAAGGAGATCGTCCCTAAAATCTCATCTGTATCGAGTTCCCTCTTGGCCATCACTGTTGTAATAATTACTGGGTCAGCTGGTAGCGTGGTGGTTGGGGCACTGGATTCTACATGGCTTTCTCTGTGGTTCAAGGTCTGAACCTGGGGGCCTAAAAAACATGCTGGGCGAGCTTGTGTGTGTGCATGTGCACACCCCAAATCACAAGAGACTAGAGAAGGGATTACTGCATGGCCATACCCCATGGGGGAGGTGATTTCAACCCCCCGCCCCCTCTGGCAAGTGCACATGCCCTATGGGGAAAAAATCCTTTAAAAAAATTCAGTGATTTTCCTTCTTCTTTACCGTGGGTCTTGCCAGGAGGCCAGGCCACCGTGCCCACCGCTGGGTCGGGGGCTAACACAGTGACTAGTGCGCAGTCATTCTGTTATCAGTAAGTGAACGAAGACGCTCACTGATACAATGCGGTGACCAGGGGGAAAACGCAGTGACCACCGCGCAGGCCCTGCCCTCGAGGAGCTCAAAGTGTGGAAGAGGCCTCACACAGTGGGATAAACCTGAGGCCACTTCAGATCACTTCAGAACACTGTCTCTGAAGCCAGAACTCACCGCGGGCCTCCTGATGTGAATGAAGCAGAAATAAACGTCAGGAGGGAGGATGGGTTCGTCTACGCCAGAGTCGGCTCCAGAGACATGCTCCCCTGCTGGCTCAGCTACAGCCTGAGACTTGGCGTGGCAGCCCTGGCCATGGCCAAAAAGCCATGAGCCCAGCCCCGGAACTCACACACAAGGGAGCATGGGAGGCCCCAGGGCAAGTAAGGACATGTCCACGGTCAGCGCCCAGCCGCCTGGCCTACCCAGTCTCTGCGTTGGTGGCAGGTCCCCTCTCCATGCTGACCTAAGTTCCCACTGCGGCTGTACAGCACGCCTTGAGGAAAATGACTCGGGGCCTGTTCAGATAGTGATGTGGGAGCCATGGCCCTGGAGAGGCGGATGATGCCTATCTGCAAGCTCGACGCTCCTTACAGCGGTCCTGACCAACTGTGGGGAGCGTGCAGGCCGGCTGTGGTCTGCACGTGCTTCTGAAGCCGGCCTGCCTCTTTCCTCTCCTCCTCGGCCTGCTGTCCTCAAATACAGGAGTCAGCAGGCAATGGAGTGGCCGGAGGACAAAGATCACGGTGCGAGGGAGGGTGGGTGAATGTGAACTAGGCCTCTGAGGCTGAGGACCTGGCTGGGCTTCACAGATACATATGCCACAGGGTTACCTTGGGGCCCTGACTCCATGATAATGTTTTTCAGAAAAAAAAAAAAAAAAGTTTGAATTGCCAGACCCTGCATGCACTTGCCAGAGACTCAGAGAAAGTGCCCCGAGAGGGTGTGTTCAGACTGCTGTCCCTTTTCTGTCACTTTTCCAGCCTGTCAGGATTTGGGGCCTGCAAGCACACACATCCGGCATGTTTTCAAAGCCCCCAAGTCTGGGATTCAAACTGTGCAGCTGGCCACATGGGAACTGGCTCCCTTAACCATGGGACTATGGGTCCAGTCTTCAAAATTGTTTTGACCCCAAAGAATGACATTTTACATGATGAACTGTCTACCTAAGCACACATCCACCTACAGGCATGCATAAAGATGAATGAAATGACACTTTCTCAGACGTATGCATTGCATCTTGGTATTCTGTTCTTTTCCACTTCAGTTTTAGTTTAGCTTTTTGTTGTTTGTTTTGCCTTTTTTAAGTTTTTTGCTACAGGGCGCATGTGCTCACCAGAGAGAGACAGATAAAGAGGGAAAGGGAGAAATCACCTTATGGCCACTCCACAGCCCCTTCTCCAGCCTCCTCTTATGGTTTTGGGTACACACACATGCATGGCATGTTTTTCAGGTAGACAGGCCCAGATGTGAACCATGCAGCTGGTCATGCGAGATCCAGCACCTAAACCCCCATGCTACCTGCTGGCCTTCCACTTCAGTTTTAAATAATGCTGGCTGCAACCCACCAAGCTGAGCTCATGATCCACTAATGAGTTCCAAAACAAAGTTTAAAGAGCACTGTTCTAGGGGCCAAGGCCAAGGGTCTACTTGTACTTTGAAAAAAAAAAATGGGGGGAGGAAGGCGTGGGGCTGTTAAAATTGTCCTGTTATGAAGGATAAAGTAGGTAATGAATAATTACCCCCTGAGCTGAAGCTGCTCCATGGGTCTCAGAGAAGCCACAGTGGGGGTGTGAACTCTTGTGTCAACAAGCCCAGCTCTACTTCTGCCAGTGTCTCCACGTGGGTCTGAGCCTCACACCAGAAGGGCTGTCTCAGGCCCAGCCGCCGAGAACAATTACCCAGAGCCTTATGAATCTGTGTTCTTAGTTCAACCAGCCAGACCTTTTTTTTTCCCCTTTGCTAGCTAGTTATGTCATTGGTTTATTTACTACTAATTTAGTTATTAGTTAGCTAGCTAGTTAGTGCTCTAGTCAGTTAATTAGTCATTTAATTAGTTATCTTGTTATAGACAGACACTCCCCAATAGGGTCTTGATGCCATAATCGACACCCAGCCTAGCCACATGGACTTCCTTGGTTGGTTAATTAGCTAGCTAATAGGCTGGTAACTTTGCTGTTTGGTTGGTTAGCTAGTTAGTAGGTTTCCTAGTTAGTTAGCTTGCCAGTTGCCTAGTTGGTTAGCTAGTGAGTTAAGTTACTTAGCTGGTGGCTTTTTTGGTTACTAGTAGGTTGGCTAGTTGGTAACTAATTAGTAGGTTAGTTAACTGGTTAACTAGGTAATAGCTTGCTACTTGCCTAGCTAGTTGGTTGGTTAGCTAGCTGGTTGGTTGGCTGACTGTTAGTTGGATGGCTGCTTGGTTGGTTAGTGTTCCCCTTGCAATCTCATGATGGCGGATGAAGGCAGGGGTGCCAGGGCAAGAGAGCACGGACTATGGCATCGATAGTCGGGCTGGATCCCAGCTTCTCTGTGTGTGTGTGTGACCTTGGGCAGGTGCTGCTTCACTGCTCTGGGCCTCAGGCTCTACGTCTACAAACGGGGTAACACCACTGCTTGCAGGGATGATGGGGTAACGAGTGGACACCGCCCGACACCGTGCCCGGCACACCGTCCTTGGTGCTGAGCACGTCGTCCCTGCCCTTGTAGCGAGTGGTAGAGGGCCTCACCAAATCTCCATTATGCCAGTGTTCTTCTGCAGCCCCTCCGCCAGCTGGGCAATCCCCTTGGCTGTGATCTGGTTCTGGATAAGCCTGGAGGAAGAGCACACCTGTGTCAAACACGTACAGTACTGGATCCAGTCTGCCCCTGCGTGAGGGGGCTGCACGGCGGAGCAGAGGCAGAGCAGTCGGTGCGAGTGCGGAGTCCGCTGACTTCCTCTGGCTAGGAGTGTCTAGACCTCGTGTCTAGAGCCACTAGAACGAAGGACAGCTTTTCCATGTTGGATATTTCGATAGTGAGTGTACCTGTATGCTCACGTGCAGACAGTGTCAGACAGGAACAGGTGCATGTATCAAACATCTTTCCCTGCAGAGGTGCCCACTCAAAAGCTTGAAGACCACCAGTCGAAGAAACCAGGGAAACAGACAGTCTAAAACCTCCTTCCAAGTAGCTAGGGAAAGGCAAGCAGTTTTGTTTTTGCTTTTGTTTTACCAGAGGGCACATGCACTCACCAGACAAAGGCTGCCCACTAGCGCATGGTCACGCCACAGTCCTTCTCCTCCATTCCTCCTTCCTATCAGGATTTTGGACTCGCATACATGCCCAGCATGTTTTCTGAGCTACCAGGCCAGGATTCAAACCATGATCAGTCCTATGAGATCTGACTTCCAATGCACTGCACTAGGAGGCCAGCTCAGTCCACAGCAGGTTGTTTTTTCTTCTTTTCATTATTCCTTTTACACTTTTGAAAAATACATTTAATCACTCGGTATCTTTTAGTTTTCTTACAGGGTGCATGCACTCACCAGAGACAGAAAGAGACACAGAGAGAGAGAGAGAGGGAGAAATCACCCCCAGGCAGGGAGGGGTGGCCACTCCACAATCCCTTCTCCTCCATTCTCCTCTCGGGATTTGGCCACACAAGCACACATGCTTGGCATGATTTTCAAGCTGCCAGGTACATGTCTTGAACTTCAAAGTCGACCACGTGGGATCCAGCTGCCTTAACCTCCATGTCACCTGCTGGCCTGGCAAGCAGCGTCTACAGTTAAGTAGCTGCCAACTGGTCATTCTCTGCTTTGGGAGACCCACAGACTTCTAAGATGGTACCAGACCCTACCCCTGAGAGGGAGCAGGAGAAACAGACCTGCTGTCACTCAGGGTCCTGGTGGAAATGCATCCGTAATGGGGCCTCTAAGGGTGCACCCCCTTATGCTGAGTAGCACTGACCCAAGTAAAACGAAGGCTTCTGATACAGCCAGGACACCCAGGCCTTTCTTTTTTTTTTTTTTTTGGAGAGATTTTCACTGTAGGGCGCATGTGCTCGCCAGACAGACAGAGAGAGACATAGAGACAGAAAGCGAGAAATCATCCCCCAGGGGGGATGGTCACGCCGCAATCCCCTCTCCTCCATTCTCCTCCCGCGATCTTGGGCACGCACGCACACGCGCCTGGCGTGAGTTTTAAGCCACTGGGTCCGGGACACGAACCGCGGTCGACTACGTAGGAGTCCAGCGACATAGCCATTACGCTAACTGCTGGTTCTCTACCCAGGCCTTTCTTGAAACCCCCAGGCAGCCGTGCTTCTAACCCAAGCAGGAAGTAAGTGTGGCACAAGGCAGTGATGTGCACACCTTACCATGATCCCTCGTCCTGCTGGCTGTAGCATAGAATGCTGCTAAACCTGACCTCGGAAATCTGGAGGAAGGCCTGCAGGAAGCGGCACACCTATGCTCTGGGCATTGATAAGGCCGTGAGACTCAGCATGGCCCTCGTGGTTAAAGGCACCAGCTCTCACACAGCTGACTGCAGTTCTAGTCCCAGCCCCAACAGCTTGAAAAACATGCCAGGCACGTCTGATGTGTGCCCCAAGTCCCAGCAGGAGGGAGCGTGGTTCAGGAGAAGGGAGTATGGCACTACCTCCCTGCAGGGGGTGCATCTTCCCTCGCCCTCTCTCTCTGGCTCTTTGTTTCTCTCTGGTGCACATATAAGCCCTCTGGCAATTAAAGACATTTTTAAAAGAGAGAAACTCATCATAAAAAGACCGACTTCTTACAGAGACAGTACCAATGGTGGTTGGAAGCGTCTCTCATACCCATCGCCCCCTGCTCAGCTACAGAACCTTGGAGATATAAACACATCTGTGAGTTTCAGCAGTAGATGTGCATTCGCCGTGGTGCCCAGTGGCTGGGAGCTCTTGTCACCACTGCCGTCCAAGCACACACCGCTGGTCCCAGTCACATCCCCCAAGGCTGGGACCCCTGAGTCAGTGCAGAGGAGCTGACCGCCAGTGAGCCCAACCACAAGTGAAACTGGACATTTCTGCTAAAGGGACAAAAATAGAACCCAGAAGTGAGCACAGAGTTCTGCATTCGGTTGAACTTTGCTGGGTTCCAGTCACCACCTTCACAGTGGCTGGCGCTGCCACAGCCCCCCCCTG